AGAAATGTCTGTGAACTGTCTCCCAGAAATGTCTGTGAACTGTCTCCCAGGAATTATGTGAACTGTCTCCCAGGAATGTCTGTGAACTGTTTCCCAGGAATGTCTGTAAACTGTCTCCTGGAAATGTCTGTGAACTGTCTACTGGAAATGTCTGTGAACTGTTTCCCAGAAATGTCTGTGAACTGTCTACCATAAATGTCTGTGAATTGTCTTCCAGAAATGTCTGTTAACTGTCTCCCAGAAATGTCTGTGAACTGTCTACCATAAATGTCTGTGAATTGTCTTCCAGAAATGTCTGTGAACTGTCTCCCAGAAATGTCTGTGAACTGTCTCCCAGGAATGTATGTGAACTGTCTTCCGGGAATTCTGTGAACTGTCTCCCAGGAATGAAACTGTCTCCTGGAAATGTCTGTGAACTGTCTACTGGAAATGTCTGTGAAACTGTTTCCCAGAAATGTCTGTGTCTACCATAAATGTCTGTTTTGTCTTCCAGAAATGTCTGTAAACTGTCTCCCAGAAATGTAATGTGAACTGTCTACCACTGTGAATTGTCTTCCAGAAATGTCTGTGAACTGTCTCCCAGAAATGTCTGTGAACTGTCTCCCAGGAATGCTGTGAACTGAACTGTCTCCCAGGAATGTCTGTGAACTGTTTCCCAGGAATGTCTGTAAACTGTCTCCTGGAAATGTCAGTGAACTGTCTCCCAGGAATTCTGTGAACTGTCTACTGGAAATGTCTGTGAACTGTTTCCCAGAAATGTCTGTGAACTGTCTACTGGAAATGTCTGTGAACTGTCTATTGGAAATGTCTGTGAACTGTCTCCAGGAAATGTCTGTGAACTGTTTCCTTGAAATGTCTGTGAACTGTCTCCCAGTACTGTCAGTGTACTGGCTCCCAGTACTGTCATTAAACTGTCTTCTGGAAATGTCTGTGAACTGTCTTCCAGAAATGTCTGTGAGCTGTTTCCAAGAAATGTCTCTGAACTGTCTCCAATAAATTTCTGCGAACTGTCTTCCAGAAATGTCTGTAAACTGTTTCCCAGCAATGAATAATTACAATAACTGCCATATGCTACAGAATGTGCAAGTCAGAAACAGAATATGGTTAGTCAAGATTTGTTTAGCTCAAATACAAGATTAGTTCAGCTGAAACAGATTACAATTAGTCAAGATTTGTTTAGCTCAAACACAAGATTAGTTCAGCTGAAACAGACTACAGTATTCAAGATTTGTTTAGCTCAAACACTACATTAGTTCAGCTGAAACAGATTACAATTAGTCAAGATTTGTTTAGCTCAAACACAAGATTAGTTCAGCTGAAACAGACTACAGTATTCAAGATTTGTTTAGCTCAAACACTACATTAGTTCAGCTGAAACAGATTACAGTTAGTCAAGATTTGTTTACCTCCAACACAAGATTTATTATAGCTGAAACAGATTATAGTTAGCCAAGATTTGTTTGGCTCAAACACAAGGTTAGTTCAGCTGAAACAGGCTATAGTTAGTCAAAATTTGTTTAGCTCCAACACAAGATTAGTTCAGCTGAAACAGACTACAGTATTCAAGATTTGTTTAGCTCAAACACTACATTAGTTCAGCTGAAACGGATTACAATTAGTCAAGATTTGTTTAGCTCAAACACTACATTAGTTCAGCTGAAACGGATTACAATTAGTCAAAATTTGTTTAGCTCCAACACAAGATTAGTTCAGCTGAAACAGACTACAGTATTCAAGATTTGTTTAGCTCAAACACTAGATTAGTTCAGCTGAAACAGGCTATAGTTAGTCAAAATTTGTTTAGCTCCAACACAAAATTAGTTCAGCTGAAACAGACTACAGTTAGTCACAAACTGTTTAGCCCAAACACAGGATTAGGTCAGCTGAAACAGACTACACCTAAAACTCCATTGATACGTGAGGGCATAAAAACCCCAGAACTTCCTGCTGCACGAACAAAGTGTCAAACCTGTGAGCACCACCCACCCATGGTCCCCACAGTGGCCAGCTTTATTCAGACCTGACCAACACTATTCAGGGTTCCTCTATGATTCTTCAATACTTTGAGAGTCTATGGTTGTTCGATTTGTTTTGGATATTTCACTTGTAATAAGTCTTCACAATTATTTTCTAATGAAATGGCTTCAGTGATGTTTCTCAGCTTTATGCCAACATGACAGTTCAAGTCTGATTAAGTTTTCTGCTACTGCAGATGAGAGTAGTATAAACTAAGATCAGGTTAACGTGTGCGAGTAACGCTAGTTGTACTAATATTTCCATAAACATCCTGTGACTGCTCAACAATTGGGACTAAGACATCACCTGGAAGCCAGGATCCTTAACACCTCCCCAGTGTTGAACTGTTCAAACACACACCCCTTTCTACCAACACATCCTAACACATGGCCGGCTATCCTCCGTCTCCTGACACTACTGTATTTCCCCAAGCAGAAATATATGACAAGACAGAAAATGCAGTGGTACGGTCAATAATGTCATCAGATCAAACTACCTCTCAAAAACAATACTACATGACTCAGTGCAGGTGAAGAAAACAACGAGAAGAGACAGTCCAAGAAAGACCTGGATACAGAACTTGACTGACCTGACAGACATGAATTCCCTTGCAATTGACCGTCAACTCTCTCCTCCAGCATGGCTTTTTTAAGAGCATTACATCTTTTATTGTGGCCAAAACATTTCACTTTTCTCTTTTTAATTTCTTGCAGCAACTCCGTTTTCATTTCTCACCTTTTCCACTGCCTTTGTTTCCATGAAATACAACCTATTCTTCCATACATCCAGATCTCCATAGACTATATGATTCTCTAACTGCTGCTGTAAGACTCCTATATTCTTGGTCACATTCAGACTGGACATTGCTGGCAACACCAAGCATCGACAAGAAGATCTATGGGAGGCTCAGCAAGATCTCAAGTGAAAAGTTAGCTGTGTATCTTTTACAGGACATTTGCAGAAACAACTCCAGCATTTTTCGGCTGTTGTGGTTTTTTTCCTAGGCAAATTTTACGCTAAGTAGTTTGCCACTGCTTCTGAATGGTCAGCTCTCTGTACTACTTTCGAAACCAATGCAAGACAAATCGTCTTCAGCTGGGATCGAAACAAAACACCAACATTACAAAGCGCGTTTACCAGATATGACAACAAGTTCTCAAGTACAGCAACATCTATCCAAACAACACACCATATGTAGAAAAAGTCTTGTTAACACTATAGGACTGACACTATTAACTGCGGAACGCCAATGATTATGTTGAAGGGAGACAGAGCACCTATAGAAATGATAAAGTGCCGTGAATATAATGCAACTCATCCACACAACCAGACTTCCTGTGCAGACATAAAAGACACAAGAAGAAAATGTGAAGAAAAAGATTAACAAAAACAATAATGACAAGACAGAATAAGAATCAAATAAATGAAAGAAAAGTCACCGGGTTAATGGAGAAACAATTACAAACTTATACATACTATTGTTGTTCATGTGTAACAATTAAATATAGCACTGCAACAATCAAACCAAATATTAACACAATCAAACCATATACTTTCACAATCAAACCACATACTAACACAATCAAACCACAAACTTTCACAATCAAACCACATACTAACACAATCAAACCACATACTAACACAATCAAACCACAAACTTACACAATCAAAACATACTAACACAATCAAACCACATACTAACACAATCAAACCACATACTAACACAATCAAACCATATACTTTCACAATCAAACCACATACTAACACAATCAAACCATATACTTTCACAATCAAACCACATACTAACACAATCAAACCATATACTTTCACAATCAAACCACATTCTAACACAATCAAACCACAAACTTACACAATCAAAACATACTAACACAATCAAACCACAAACTTACACAATCAAAACACATACTAACACAATCAAACCACATACTAACACAATCAAACCACATTTACACAATCAAAACATACTAACACATTCAAACCACATGCTAACACAATCAAACCACATGCTTACACAATCAAACCAAATGCTAACCAAATCAAACCACATATTAACAAAGTACAAAATGTAACAATCACAGTAACTCTGATTAAAAATATAACCTGAGCATTGTTGTAGCATTGCATTCAGTAGAGTAGCAATCAAAATACATGTTTATTCTGCAGTCACAATCATTCTTAGTAGCTGAAAATCAATCAAGTTTTGCAACAATCAATCCAGATCTGTGACATTCAATCAGAATCTGTAACAATCAATGAAAATTTGTAGCAATCACACTAGGACAGTAACATTCCATACAGCATCCAAACAGGCTTTGTAACATTTACTCTGTCGCTGTTACATTAATTCAGACTTTGCAGGCCTCAATCCAGCATTATCACAATCAATCAGTCAACTGACTGTAAACATATAATCCAGGGCAACAGTAGTGACTGATTAAAGAAAAAAATAAAAAAAATAAGAAGAAGAAATGTGTCAAAATCTCCAAAAGAAGATGTGCCATATGTTACTCAGGCACAATGGAAGCAGGGCTATAGGTCACAAGCAATGAACAGACGGAATATCCATGAATACCAGCACGGAAGGAGCACCTACCAAGGCTTGCTCAAGGTACCACTTCAGAAGAGGTTCCAAGGCAGAATAGGATGACAGAAAAGAAAAAGGCAGCAATCACATCAAAATGATAACGATAAGTTATAGGACAGAACAAATCAATCCATGGACAGCATCAATCAATCCACAGACAGTAACAATCAATCTGTGGACAGTTTCAGTCAATCAAGCACTCCAAAAAAAATGAAGACAGCATTTAAAAACCCACAGAGATTTCAGTATTATCATGTCTGCACAATCTCCTTCTTGGAACAGACATCCCTCACAACTGTGTAATTATTTGGTGCCACGCCACTCCCCTCTGGTTGTTTCTCTAAGGAATGGCTGAATTCATGAAGCTGCAGGGAGACAATCAAGGTACATACTCCCATGATTTATCATCTTCAGTGGTCTCCCCTAGAGAATTAAACCTGTAAAATAATTTAGAATGACAAATGGAAGTAAACGGGAAGAAGCAAAAACAAAAAGTAACTATAATATTTAATATTTATTCTTCTTTGTGGTGTTCAACGGCTGTAAACTCTAACTTAAAATTCTGGTTGTTTGTCCACTTCTGGACTTTGGTCTTGTTCAAGAACTTGAGTTTTGGAGGCACATCCATTTTGCAGATCTGGCTTTTGTAGGCAGACTGTTGGTACCTTGCCTCTCAGGAAGATGCACTCTGACTCTGAAGGAAACTGGCCTAATTATCCCCCTTGGACCACAGTGGTCTCCAACCTCTTTCAGGTCGCAACCTCCTTGAGTATATGGCAAGATCCTCGAGCCCCTCTGTGAATATATGGCAAGACTCCTCTCACGGCCCCCTCCCCTCCCCAACACAACATGGGATTGTAAAGAGTAGGACAATATATTATACAACAAGGTAAACAGACAGTAATGAGTTTACACAATAACCAGAATGTGTTTGTGATCTATAAGTGAATGCCTGTGCTATCAGATTAATTCAATTTTTAACAGTAGACATACACACACACAAAAACTGTCCTTGAATTTTTGCTTAATGAAAAAGTTTGAAAAAATATTTTATCCTCCATAATTAAACTGAAGAAATAATATCACAGATTACTAAAAATATAAATTTACTCAATTTAACAACTGCCTAAGGCTCTCTTTGAAACAAATATTTACAATAAAGTGAACAAATTATTGTCTTGGATGGAGAGAAAAGGGAAGTAGGCAGAAGGTGTGAAAGAGAAATCTAATGGATAGACTGATACAAAGGCAAAGGAGAATGGCAGAATGAAAGGGATGGATAGAGAAATAAATAGATAGGAAAGAAAATACACGAATAACATGGAGGCAAATCATACACACACACAGATGGAGAGAGAGAGAGAGGTAAACAGATGCTTCACTGACTTTTCGATGAGACTGGTGTTCTCAGACAAGAGGATCCTGACCTCCTCCAGGCTTGAACATGTGGTCTGTATGCTGAAAGCAAAAGCATATCATTCAACCTTTCCAACATTCCACAAGTGAACTCATATTTCATATAAAATACTATATCTCTGACACTCCTACAAACAAAACACAACTGAACCTCCCACTGAAAATGTGTAACGAAACTCTCATACAAAACATTAACTTAACAGCTCTCACAATACAAACATATAATTGAACCTCTTATAGAAAGTCCACATAAAGCTGTGAAACTTATGTCAAAACCAAACTAGATGATATCCTTAAAAAAATTCCAATAATATGTTGTACAAAAAGTATGGACACTTAAATCTCTGAGCAGGCAGCCCCATATACAAACTGCAGATTAAAAACTCCACTGTGGTTGGAAATTGCAAAAAGTATGCTTATGGCCACATTCCTGATAGACTGAGTTTCCGTTGGGGTCCTTCAAATAGCTCCTTCTGTGGACATCATTATCATCATCATTCCATTGCGCTTTTATAAATCACATAGGGCTCACAGCCTAGTCCTCCATCCCATTTTATCTTGTGCAATCCTTTCATGATGATGTCATAGTCAGAAACTAGTCCAGCAACTTTGGCCTCTCTCAATAACATTGGTTTGAAGAGTCTGTTAACAGGGGACTCCATACAGATGTGGTCAGGGGACACCATACAGACGTGGTCAGGGGACATCATACAGACGTGGTCAGGGGACACCATAAAGATGTGGTCAGGGGACACCATACAGATGTGGTCAGGGGACACCATAAAGACATGGTCAGAGAACACCATAAAGACATGGTCAGGGGACACCATAAGGATGTGGTCCGGGGACACCATACAGATGTGGTCAGGGGACTCCATACAGATGTGGTCAGGGGACATCATACAGATGTGATCAGGGGACATCATACAGACGTGGTCAGGGGACACCATAAAGATGTGGTCAGGGGACTCCATACAGACGTGGTCAGGCCACACCATACAGATGTGATCAGGGGACATCATACAGACGTGGTCAGGGGACACCATACAGACGTGGTCAGGGCACACCATACAGATGTGATCAGGGGACATCATACAGACGTGGTCAGGGGACACCATACAGACGTGGTCAGGGGACATCATACAGATGTGATCAGGGGACACCATACAGATGTGGTCAGGGCATACCATACAGACGTGGTCAGGGCACACCATACAGATGTGATCAGGGGACATCATACAGACGTGGTCAGGGGGACATCATACAGTCGTGGTCAGGGCACACCATACAGACGTGGTCAGGGGGACATCATACAGACGTGGTCAGGGCACACCATACAGATGTGATTAGGGGACACCATACAGACGTGGTCAGGGCACACCATACAGACGTGGTCAGGGCACACCATACAGATGTGATCAGGGGACATCATACAGACGTGGTCAGGGGACATCATACAGACGTGGTCAGGGGACATCATACAGATGTGATCAGGGGACACCATACAGATGTGATCAGGGGACACCATACAGACGTGGTCAGGGGACACCATACAGACGTGGTCAGGCGACACCATACAGACGTGGTCAGGGGACATCATACAGATGTGATCAGGGGTCATCATACAGACGTGTTCAGGGGACACCATACAGACGTGGTCAGGGCACACCATACAGATGTGATCAGGGGACATCATACAGACATGGTCAGGGGACACCATACAGACGTGGTCAGGGCACACCATACAGATGTGATCAGGGGACATCATACAGACGTGGTCAGGGGACACCATACAGATGTGATCAGGGGACACCATACAGATGTGGTCAGGGCACACCATACAGACGTGGTCAGGGCACACCATACAGATGTGATCAGGGGACACCATACAGATGTGGTCAGGGCACACCATACAGACGTGGTCAGGGGACACCATACAGATGTGATCAGGGGACATCATACAGTCGTGGTCAGGGGACATCATACAGACGTGGTCACACCATACAGACGTGGTCAGGGGACATCATACAGATGGCACACCATCAGGGGACACCATACAGACGTGGTCAGGGCACACCATACAGACGTGGTCAGGGGACATCATACAGACGTGGTCAGGGGACATCATACAGATGTGATCAGGGGACACCATACAGACGTGGTCAGGGCACACCATACAGACGTGGTCAGGGGACACCATACAGACGTGGTCAGGGGACAGCATAAAGACGTGGTCAGGTGACACCATAAAGACGTGGTCAAGGGACACCATAAAGACATGGTCAGGGGACACCATAGAGACGTAGTCAGGGGACACCATAGAGACGTAGTCAGGGGACACCATAGAGACGTGGTCAGGGGACACCATACAGACGTGGTCAGAGGACATCAAAAAGACGTGGTCAGGGGACACCATGAAGACGTGGTCAGGGGACACCATAGAGACGTGGTCAGGGGACACCATAGAGACGTGGTCAGGGGACACCATAAAGACGTGGTCAGGGGACACCATAGAGACGTGGTCAGGGGACACCATACAGATGTGGTCAGGGGACACCATAGAGACGTGGTCAGGGGACACCATAGAGACGTGGTCAGGGGACACCATAAAGACGTGGTCAGGGGACACCATAGAGACGTGGTCAGGGGACACCATACAGATGTGATCAGGGGACACCATAGAGACGTGGTCAGGGGACACCATAGAGACATGGTTAGAGGACACCATAAGGACGTGATCAAAAGTGCACGCTGATGTAAAACCTGAAAATAAACTAGGCATATCATAATCTGGTTTCTTTAATGGTATCCCAGTCCAGGATATGAAGTCACACACCTATTTGTGCAGTAATGTAGGTAACAATGGGGGAACTGCAACAGTTATTAAAATGTGAACACAAAAAGCAATAGCAGGTTTTACAACTCTAGGAAATTTGTGGAGGTCAAAAGGAATTAACTCCTACCAAACTTAAAATGTGTAATTCTAATGTCAAAGCAGTACTGCTGTATGGAGTGGAAATTTGGAGAACTAAAACAATTATTGTAAAAAAAACCCACAAACATTCATTAACTGGTGCCTGCCCAGAACACAGGCAATTAAATGGTTTGATAGAATCAGTCATGTAGAGCTTTGGGACAGAACTAAACAAGCTCCAGAGGACAAAGATGTGAAAAAAAGACGCTGGTGTTGGACAGGACACACATTAAGAAAACCTATGATTGACATAACTAGAATGTCACTGCACGAGAACCAACATAGGTATAGCAATAGAGGCAGATCAACCACAGACAAAAACAGAACAGCGAGCCAGAGAGTGAAGTTAAAAAGATAGGGAGGACACGTGGTGAGCTGCATGAATTAGTGAAAGCTAGAATGAATTGGTGTGAGTTAGTTGAGGGTCTATGCTCCATTAGGGATAGAAGGCAGAAGAAGAAGATTAATAAACTACCTGATGCACATTTGGCAGCCTGATGAGCTTGAGTGCCAGCCCTTACCTGCCCAACACACTGTCTAGCCGCTCCTGTCGACTGCCCATCGTTACACCATTACTGGAATTAGAGTTGTCCCCCTTATTTGTCACCACCCCATCTGTGTGATTCTCCGGAACATCGACGGCCTTCAAGCAAGTCTCCAGCTGACTGATGCACTGATTCCCTGACTGATGACACACACACACACACAAACACAGTCAAATATCATCAACAGTGATTGGTACAATAAATTTAGAAAGTAAAACAAGATCAATAGGTGAAACAATGAAAAGCTCCAAAATGCTGGTGAACAGTAAAATACAGCACTATCAACTCAAACTAGAGGCCAGATGCTGACTGCAGTATGCTGCTGCTACTACTAATAATAATACTAAAACTACAACTACTTCTACTACTCCTTCTTCTTCCTCCTCTAAATTACCCTTACACCTCTAAATTATGTCACACCTCTAAATCACCATGAAACGTCTAAATTATGTCACACTTCTAAATCACCCCAAGCCTCCTAATGATGTCAAACATCTAAATTATGTCACACCTCTAAATTATGTCACACCTCTAAATCACCATCACACCTCTAAATTATGTCACACTTCTAAATCACCCCTAGCCTCCTAATGATGTCAAACATCTAAATTATGTCACACCTCTTAATTATGTCTCACTTCTAAATCACCCCAAGCGCTCTAATGATGTCAAACGTCTAAATTATGTCACACCTCTTAATTATGTCTCACTTCTAAATCACCCCAAGCCTCCTAATGATGTCAAACATCTAAATTATGTCACACCTCTTAATTATGTCTCACTTCTAAATCACCCCAAGCCTCCTAATGATGTCAAACATCTAAATTATGTCACACCTCTTAATTAAGTCTCACTTCTAAATCACCCCAAGCGCTCTAATGATGTCAAACGTCTAAATTATGTCACACCTCTTAATTATGTCTCACTTCTTTATCACCCCAAGCATATTAATTATGTCACACCTCTAAATTATCCTAAACCTCTTAATTATGTAATTTCTCTAAATCACCTCAAGCCTTTTAATTATATCACAAATATAAATCACCCCAAGCCTACTGTCACCGGTGTAACGGAGTTCGTGTACTGCGCTGAGCTGCTTCAGACTGAGGCTTGAGTTAGAAGTAGAACGGAGTACTTATTGGTTACACCTGGGTGCCATGATGTTGATCCGTTGAATAAACCAACAAACCCCAGGCCTCTTAAATAAGTCACATCTCTAAATCAACCTAAGCCTCTTAAATATGTCCTATCTCTAAATCACCCCAAGCCTCTTAATTATGTCACATCTCTAAATCACCCAAAGCCTCTTAATTATGTCACATCTCTAAATCAACCTAAGCCTCTTAAATATGTCCTATCTCTAAATCACCCCAAGCCTCTTAATTATGTCACATCTCTAAATCACCCCAAGCCTCTTAATTATGTCACATCTCTAAATCACCCCAAGCCTCTTAATTACCCTAAGCCTCTTAATTATGTCACATCTCTAAATCACCCAAAGCCTCTTAATTATGTCACATCTCTAAATCACCCCAAGCCTCTTAAATATGTCACATCTCTAAATCACCCCAAGCCTCTAAATTACCCTAAGCCTCTTATTAATGTGACACCTTTCAATCCCCCCCACCCACCCTAAATCACACTGTAATCTTTAAGTCCCCCTGCACTTCTACATCCTCCTGTAGCTCCACCCAGTGACATAAAACTGTAACTGAAGACTGGCTGTCTCAGAGGTAATGAGGTCAGCAGAAGACAACTCACCACCTTCAGCTTGTCCACCAGCCTGCCCTGCATGTGGCTGATGTCCGACACCAAGGCCTCCAGCCGTTCCCCAGTGTCATGGATCTGAACAGCTTTGCTGTCAACAAGAACACAATCTATCAACAATTCAATTTCTGGGACCCAGAAAAACAGTGTGTATCAGTGTGAAGTGTAAAGTACAGTTTAACAGAGTAAACTGTAAAATGTAATGATGCAAGTGTAAAGTGTAGCAAGTTCCAATTTAACAGTGTAAAGTGCAACAATGAAAAGTGTAACAAGGTAATATGTAAAGTGTAACGATGCAAAGTGTACCAGTGTAATAACATGAGAGTGTAATTGTAAAGTGTAACAATGTAAAGTGCAACAGTGTCAGTTGTAACAGTGTAAAACTGAAAGAGTTTGAAAACAAACTCATAACCATCAGGCAGAGATGCAAACTGCTCGTCCACTTCACCACCTATAAAAGTGTCACCGGTAGAAAACATCTTTCAATGCCTGAACTAACACTACTTAAGCTGAGAGATGCTTGATCCAAACACAGAAGTTCAAGTTATCTTGCTGATAGACCTGTTTAACTCTTTCAGCTCCACATGGTCCGAGCTAATGTCCGAGGCAGTTACTAAACTCATGGCCCAGAGGGACCAAATAAACAACCCTTGTAAGAAACAAATATGTTGCCAGAGTTCTTCAAAGTCCACTCATCATAAGATGTATAAACAGCCATATCATGCTGCTTGGTATATGCAAAAAATATCTAGTCCTGCACAGTGTGTTGGAGTAAAATATTGAATGAGGGTGCTCCTACTTACACAACTATTTAATCTATAGACTGGAATAAGTGATCCTACCTACTGAACTATCTAATCTATAGACTTGAATAAGTGATCCTACCTACAGAACTATTTAATCTATAGACTGGAAAAAGTGATCCACCTACAAAACTATTTAATCTATAGACTGGAATAGGTGATCCTACCTACAAAACTATTTAATTTATAGACTGGAATAAGTGATCCTACCTTCAGAACTATTTAATCTATAAACTGGAATAAGTGATCCTACCTACAGAACTATTTAATCTATAGACGAGAAAAAGTGATCCACCTACAAAACTATTTAATCTATAGACTGGAATAGGTGATCCTACCTAAAAAAACTATTTAATTTATAGAATGGAATAAGTGATCCTACCTTCAGAACTATTTAATCTATAAACTGGAATAAGTGATCCTACCTACAAAACTATTTAATTTATAGACTGGAATAAGTGATCCTACCTACAGAACTATTTAATCTATAAACTGGAATAAGTGATCCTACCTACAGAACTATTTAATCTATAAACTGGAATAAGTGATCCTACCTACGAAACTATTTAATTTATAGACTGGAATAAGTGATCCTACCGACAGAACTATTTAATCTATAAACTGTAATAAGTGATCCTACCTACAGAACTATTTAATCTATAGACTGGAATAAGTGATCCTACCTACAAAACTAATCTATAGACTGGAATAAGTGATCCTACATACAAAACTATTTTATTTAAAGACTGGAATAAGTGATCCTACCTACAGAACTATTTAATCTATAAACTGGAATAAGTGATCCTACCTACAAAACTATTTAATTTATAGACTGGAATAAGTGATCCTACCTACAGAACTATTTAATCTATAGACTTGAATAAGTGATGCTACCTACAGAACTATTTAATCTATAAACTGGAATAAGTTATCCTACCTACAGAACTATTTAATCTATAAACTGGAATAAGTGATCCTACCTACAAAACTATTTAATCTATAAACTGGAATAAGTGATCCTACCTACAGAACTATTTAATCTATAAACTGGAATAAGTGATCCTACCTACAAAACTATTTAATCTATAAACTGGAATAAGTGATCCTACCTACAAAACTATTTAATCTATAAACTGGAGCAAGTGCTCCTACCTATATAACATTTAATCTATAAACTGAGGCAAGTGTTCTTACCCACAGAACTATTTAATCTATAAACAAGTCTTCCCACCTGAAGAACTATTTAATCTATAAACTGCGGCAAGTGCTCCTACTACCTACGAATTATTTATTCTATAAACTCTATAGAGCTGTTTAATCTATCAACTGACATGAAAATGCTCTATCTATAAAGCTGTTTAATCTATCAACTGAAATTAAAATGCTATTACCTATAAAGCTGTTTAATCTATCAACTGAAATGAAAATGCTCCTACCTATAGAGCTGTTTGAAAGCAGAGTAGAGTTGGTTGGCCTTTTTGGTGCAGTCATCATCTACCAGAGTCTGGGCCATAAGACACAGCTCTTTCATCTTGTTTCTGCAACATACGGACCCCGGGATGGCATTCTGAATAAGTCACATCTCTGAACGTTGGGCACATGACACAAACAGCTGTTGACGTGTGTTTAAGCACATGGGGACAACATTGGTACAAGGAAACATGCACAACACTGGTATAAACAGATATAGACAGCACTGGTACAAAAAAATTAGGTGAGGCACATATCTAACACAGGATACTTCCACATGAAAATAGTATGATCTTGTTCTTCTTTTGTCATCTCACTGTTACCAGGTTGTAACCCAGTGTTGTGGTTTTCTGTATTTTGTCTTGCGCTTCTCAGGATGGATTCGTTCAACTTTTTGCAGATTTTGCAGGTTTCATCAACACCATCTATCCATTTCTTTCTTGGTCTTCCTCTCGCCTTCCACCCAAATGATCTATTGTAAAAAGTCTCATATGCAGTCTGGTCTGGCTGCATTCTCACTAGATAGATAAGTATGTTGAAAGTGTAAATTACTGATAGCTTTAAAATGTTTGATGTTTTCTAGACAATGAGACAACAATTGTGCGTTTCAGCAGTTTTTTAGCACTTCATTAGATGGGGCACAGAATGAAAACAATAATGATCTAGAAATGGAAACAAAAAATGTGTACAGCTAAAGGGCCATTTCATTGTATAGAAACATGTCAACACAGTTTCTTAAAAGTGTCAATTTAGTGTGTGATTCTTTCTTTGTAACTCTTACTCTGAGATAACTGAAAGAAAGGGGAGGGGGGAGACAGACAGACAGACAAAGACAGACAGTGCTAGAAAAAAAAAATGCTAGTTAGTTAATCAAGGTTCCAAATTTGTTGCAGACGAGTTGCCCTGTGATTGCTCCATTTCTGTGCCAGTGGAAATCACTCAAAACATCTTTCTAGATAACGAGGGAAGGAATAATTCTGATGCATGTACAATGTTACTAACTTGTCAAATCTGTGAACTTGTTCATCGTTGTTGCTCAGTGGTGCCTTGCTCCGGTCTTCTCGGAATGAATTCATGATCTTCTGCATTCTCTGCAGCAGATGCTCCATCTTCTCGTTGCTAAGGATAGCAATAGATTTCTGTCAACATACAACTGACACGCCATCTCGCTGATGAGTATGACAGCTCATTTCTGTCAACATACAACTGACGCACAATATCACTGATGAGAATAACAGCACATTTCTGTCAACATACAACTGATACGCCATCTCACCAATGAGGATGACAGCACATTTCTGTCAACATACAACCGACACGCCATCTCGCTGATGAGGATGACAGCACATTTCTGTCAACATACAACTGACACACAATATCACTGATGAGAATAACAGCACATTTCTGTCAACATACAACTGATACGCCATCTCACCAATGAGGATGACAGCACATTTCTGTCAACATACAGCTAATATGCCATCTCGCTGATGAGGATGACAGCACTTCTGTCAACATACAGCTAATATGCCATCTCGCTGATGAGGATGACAGTACATTTCTGTCAACATGCAACTGATACGCCATCTCACTGATGAGGATGACAGCACATTTCTGTCAACATACAACTAATACGCCATCTCACTGATGAGGATGACAGCACTTCTGTCAACATACAGCTAATATGCCATCTCGCTGATGAGGATGACAGTACATTTCTGTCAACATACAGCTAATACGCCATCTCACTGATGAGGATTACAGAAAATTTCTGTCAACATACAGCTAATATGCCATCTCACTGATGAAGATGACAGTACATTTCTGTCAACATACAACTGACACACAATTTCACTGATGAGGATGACAGTACATTTCTGTCCACATACAACTAACACGCTATTTTCTTGAACGTGACCCAAGTGATGAATCTCTACATGCAACTGATTTCAGCGACAAGATGACAGTACACTCCAGTCAGCATATAAATTTCACACTTGTTTCTTCTGGCTGGTAAACTGTTGTCACACTTCTCCAAATATGTGAATACGTACATTCATCACCATCATCCTATTGTGCCATTATATATCACAGTCCGGTCCTCCATTCAATTCTATCCTGTGCAATTCTCTGGTTATCATGAACGGAATCCAGTCCAGCTGCTAGACATTTCACAAATCTGTCAACAATTGTTACGAGACTGGATCTACCCAACAGCCACCAACTCTAGTGGAGACTGAACCAGGATCACTGCCTGGCAAGCTACAAGACTAACCACTATGGCAAGGAGTAAAAGTACAACGACTATCCAAGTAAGTAAAATGGTTACCATCTGTCAGAGGGTAAACAGCCAACACTTGGGTCCCAGTTGTCATCTAGGGCCTGGGCAGTTTTCAAGTCTTGCAGGTGCTTTGTAGCTTTGTCTAGTCTGTTCTGCACCTAAACAGTTTCAACATTGTAGGAGAAAGCAGTTCAAACATTTTATAAGAAAACAATCAGTTAAAATATTGTACGTGAAAGTAATCAGTTAAAATACTGTACGGGAAAGAAATCAGTTAAAATAATGTACAGGAAAGAAATCAGTTAAAATACTGAATGTGAAAGTAACCAGTTAAAAAAATGTACAGGAAAGAAATCAGTTAAAATACTGAACGCGAAAGTAACCAGTTAAAATAATGTATGGGAAAGTAATCAGTTAAAATACTGAATGTGAAAGTAACCAGCTAAAATACTTTATGGGAAAGAAATCTGTTAAAATACTGAACGTAAAAGTAACCAAATAAAAAAATGTATGGGGAAAGTAATCAGTTAAAATACTGAATGTGAAAGTAACCAGTTAAAAAAATGTACAGGAAAGAAATCAGTTAAAATACTGAACGCGAAAGTAACCAGTTAAAATAATGTATGGGAAAGTAATCAGTTAAAATACTGAACGTGAAAGTAACCAGTTAAAATAATGTATGGGAAAGTAATCAGTTAAAATGCTGAACGTGAAAGGAACCAACTAAAATACTTTATGGGAAAGAAATCTGTTAAAATACTGAACGTAAAAGTAACCAAATAAAAAAATGTATGGGGAAAGTAATCAGTTAAAATACTGAACGTGAAAGTAACCAGTTAAAATAATGTACAGGAAAGAAATCAGTTAAAATACTGAGCGTAAAAGTAACCAGTTAAAATAATGTACAGGAAAGAAATCAGTTAAAATACTGAACGTGAAAGTAACCAGTTAAAATAATGTACAGGAAAGAAATCAGTTAAAATACTGAACGTGAAAGTAACCAGTTAAAATAATGTACAGGAAAGAAATCAGTTAAAATACTGAGCGTAAAAGTAACCAGTTAAAATAATGTACAGGAAAGTAATCAGTTAAAATACTGAACGTGAAAGTAACCAGTTAAAATAATGTACAGGAAAGAAATCAGTTAAAATACTGAGCGTAAAAGTAACCAGTTAAAATAATGTACGGGAAAGAAATCAGCAAAAGTAAACTGTTAGAACATATGGCAAATGTTGTTTTTTCAACACGCCCTCAACTACTTGATAGATGATACCTCAGACAGATGTATCTATATACATGACATCACTCTCTTGGTCCAATGATAGGTGAGTGTGGTGCCTGACCCCCAGCCTTGATCAGCCAATCATAATCTAAGAAATAGATGATGGTATCTGAGATACCACAGGACACAGAAGATGTACTGACATATTCAAAGAGAGTGTGAATGGAAAGCCTAATAACAGACAGTATGACCCTCAGGATGAAAGAAACATAAAAAAAAACAAGGAACACACAAAATAATGGACTCAGAACATCGCAAAGAGTCTCAGTCTCTGACCACCGCTACAGCTCTAAGATTTCCATCATGAATAGCAAATGAACAGCATAAACTCCTGATAAGTAAAGTAAAGTAAAGATCCCTTTTCACGCCTTTCTGCGCATCAGGCATATGGGCAGAGCGTCCCATATTTTTACAGACCATCAGCACTCTGTGGGTAATGTGGTCAGCATTACGCCTGCTGTCTTTACTTTCCCAGATACCCTGTTCAAACTCCACTGGCAGGCTGCTCCCTGTTGACTTTTAAAGGACACAGTGTGTGAAGAGTGGGAAGATCAATATAGGGATGGAAGGATAAGAGCCGCGTCCGTGGCTTAGGCGTTGCGATTGCAACCCACTGCTGGCTACGTGGATTTTTATCATGGTATGGCAGGTCAACCCAGCCTAAAATGGGTACCAGGATGTATGTCCTGGGGAAGTAAAGATGGCCAGCGTAATGCTGACCATATTACTCACTTAGTACCGATTGGTCTGTAAAAATATGGGTGATCTTTCCATATGCCCAATGCGCCTAAGGCTTGAAAAGGGATCTTTACTTTTACTTTACTTTATGGGAGGTTAAGCAGTCATGTGCTGGAGGGGATGATTCTTTGAGCGAGCAAAGGACCAGAGCATCATGTGTCGGCTCTGAAGTTATTGAAGCCTCTCTGGATGGCTGGAAATGCATAATGACTACATCATACACCTGTGCAGGAAAGGATTTTTGTAATGGGGACTACATTCCGGACAGAGAATAAATCACACTGATGCTGAACAGAAATTGACATCACACAAACCTGTGCACTTATTTGTGAGCACTCTCTTTTGCCGGTCTCCAGTAACGTCTGCAGCACATTCAGCCGCCCTCCAAAGTCCAGACCGTTGGACTTGAGGTTGCTGCCCATCAACATCTTCACCAATTTGGTCTGCAGGCTGAGGTTAGAAAACAGTTGGTCCTGCCAGGTCTTTGTGTCCGTGCACATGCGGGTTGCGTAGCCTGTGGATAACTCCAGCTGAATACTCTTGCTGCGGACGTAGTTGCTACAGGAAACAAATTAAACTCTTTAAATCATGTATGTAATAAACAAACAGATATGCACTGACTGGCACTCAGACTGAAGAAGTCAGACAGACAGACATACTAGGCAACACACAAATCAAAAGTTATAGCTACTATGCAGAGAATCGAACCTGTTACCTCAAAATGATGACAACGCCTCAAGGCACTTCACTTCTACAAAAACTTGTGTATCAACATTGGCATATTTACATGTCAGAAAAACATACTGCTATCATCATTATCAAGTAAAATAAGTAAGTAAAGAACCCTTTTCCATGTCTTCTCTTGTACTGGGCATATATGGTTGTTGTTGTTGTTATCATCGATCCAGCGGCGCATGAGCTTTCGCCCTTTGGCCCAATGCCATGTAGTGGAATTTGCATGTTTTCACAAGCTGTTCTTTTCCTCCGTACAAGGTGTTCCACTTGTCTGGTCTCGGAGGGAATGGCATATATGGTTAGACATATATTTTAGACCAATCGGCACTGGGTGGGTAATGTCGTCAGCACCACACCGGCCATCTTTACTTCCCCAGGACTATATCTGCTACCTACTCAAGGCTAATTCGACCTGAGAGTCAAGGTAATTTCTTTGTTGTTGAAAGTTCGGCTCTGCCAGGACCTAACCCACAACCTTCCCAAACACAGGCAAGTGAACAACATCACCATCAAATGCCTTGCTAGCTGGCACAGGCGATCGAGACCTCTGCACATCCTGTGATCTCTGAAAGCATGCAACAGCTGCTGTGTAGGCTGACACCCTCACGTACCATGACAGGCCTCCCAACAGAAGCCCCAAATGGTCTAACTGTACACACTCACCAGTACATCTTAACTGCTTTTGTGAGAAACATGTTATTCAGCATGAGGATTTTCACACAGTTTTTCACAGAATGAAGAACGGAAAAACATCGCTTGCTGATTGGGTAGTCTGTGACCACATTTGTTTCCAAAGGGATGTCCACAAATGTCCCTGTCGACAGAGCAGACGGAATGAGAATCAGAAATATACTCTTTTGGTTAATGTGTTACAGTAAATTCATTCATTCATTCATTTATTCATTCATTCATTCTCCTGTGCTCCTACTATATGTCATACAGGGCTTGCAGTCTATTCCTCCATTCAGTTCTGTGCAATCTCTGTGATATCATAGAGGGAATACAGTCCAGCAGCTTTGGCTTCTCTCATCAGCATTCACTTTAGGGTTTCTCTTGGATGTCCTTTCCTCAATCCCTCTGCCATTTCAGTTACAGTCAAGTAAAAGTTTAAATCGACAGAATCAAATTTTCTGCACTGGTTTTTATCTAATTTAACACAGTCTCTGCCAAGAGTGTTGCACAAAGCCCAAACTTTGTAGCTCCAGCAATTATCACTAGGAATCTTAATAAAAATCACACTCATGAACTGAACCACACAGGCTGTGAAATTAATCCATGACCTTCAAAGTGGGAAGCGGACAGCCAGACTACTTTGCCAGAGACACCAGCGTTTACAGTGCAACTAGCAGCTGCCAGAATGTCATTCAAACAATAATGTTTCTCTTTTATGTTGAAAGTCTGCATAAAGAAGAGAGGGTGTATGAGCAGGGCATGTAGAAACAAGTGTGGGTTTTACATACTCAATTTAAATTTTAAAATTAAAATGAAACTAAAAAATAAAAATTTTTTATCTAAGTAACAGGGCTCTCAGTGGTGTCCTGTCTGTTGGTAGTCATGACACATGTCCAAACCACTGGATCTGTTGTCTTATGATGTAGACTATAACTGATTTGGTCCCAGCGTGTTTCTTAATATCATCATGCCTGATCCATCGTATATGTGCATATTACGATACATGCACATTTGAATCCGAGTCGGTTCTAGACAGCTTGTGTGGTGGGTTGAGACCATCCTTGTGTGATCTTTAAGGGGAGGTTACTGAAACACTTACAGAATTATTTGTGTGGGTAATGAAAGTGTGTGACCTAGCAAAGAACTTGCCAAGCTATCTGAAATGCAACAATATTTAAGTGTCCTCTGGTGATCACTCTCCAATTTACACTAACAGACAAGTTCTTGTGATAAACTTGACTGTTACCAGTTCCCTTTCAGGTCCACACAACTTTAGAGTATGATGTTGACTCACTGGGCCAGTATTCCCTTCTCAAAGAGCTATAGAAGGGACATTCTTGCATGAGATGTTCTGCAGATTGAGTCTCTAACAACAAGTACACATTTCTACTTACCATATACAGGTCTCGTAAATCTCTTGTATTCGGGCAGCTTGTTGAATATGAAGATAGGGTTGTCTGCAGTCGAGTGTTTCAGGTACTTGATGACAGGATTACGAGAATCATCTTTCAAAACTTTCCCATCATGCATAAGAAGCTGGGCCCCTCCTGGAATTTCGGTCTGATCGGTGATCAGCTGTCGCAGCTGGGACATGCTGTACACAAAATATTTATAACCAGTTACTGACCAGTTGTCACAGCTCTGATATACTAGACATGAATACTTATAACAAGCTATTATCATTTGGGAAATGAATAGGCAGACAGGTTGGCTGATTTGCACTTTGGAGTGGTTAAATGAAGCATGATAAGCTAGATGTGGTTAAGGACCTTCGGAAGCAAGTGAATGATGTGCAATGATAACTGATCATCAAGGTCTGGAGAGAATGATGTGCAATGATAACTGATCATCAAGGTCTGGAGAGAATGATGTGCAATGATAACTGATCATCAAGGTCTGGAGAGATTGATGTGCAATGATAACTGATCATCAAGGTCTGGAGAGAATGATATGCAATGATAACTGATCATCAAGGTCTGGAGAGAATGATGTGCAATGATAACTGATCATCAAGGTCTGGAGAGAATGATGTGCAATGATAACTGATCATCAAGGTCTGGAGAGAATGATGCAGCTGGGAGTGACCAGGCGATCTGGTCAACACTTTGCACTCAGAGAAAAGGCAAGATGCACATATAATCAAACTACTGGAAATCTTTGCTGGCTGCTGAATACAAGGATGGAGCACGTATGGAAACATTCTGAGTTCTGGGGTGCCAATTCTTAACTCACCTTAATTATTATCACTAGGCAGCTCTAAACCATTATCTGATTCCAGTGAGTATGTTTGCAGCCGTTTTCTCTATCACTGACTGTCATTTCTGGACATGTACAACAATAAGGTTTGTACTCCGCGTAATATGGTTTTAAGTTACTATACTCAAGGATTGCAGTCTCTAGGATTAACATCTTAAGGATGAGAACCAAACAGGTACAAATGCAGGACACCCTGTTAAACCCTATAGCGATTTTGCACAGTTAATCTGGGGAACCACAAAATGGTTATGGAGTAAGCTGTAGTCCAATGTAGGTTATATGTAGGCTGTCTGTCTGTCTTCTTCTTTCACTGCAAATAAAATGTAACAGTTTTTATTGTTTATGAATTGTTAATCTCTCTCCCCGTGCAAAGACTAAATAGAAGCCAGACAAATAAAAAAACTTACTCATCCTTTTGCCGGATGTAGACAACAATTTGAGAGAACATGGAAGTACAGAACATGTGGTAGAATAAATCTGAACCTCTAATAAAATGTTCCCAGGCCCCTAAAGTAAGCACTCTGTTTGACCGTTTATAAATCAACAACACATCTAACCGAATTCAAACTGCTTTTCAAAACCTTGGTTATAATTTCAAAACCTTGGTTATAATTGTGGTTTGTGATTTTTTATTTTATTTTTTTTAATGTGTGTTTTTTTTAATTTTATTTTTTAAGATATTTTGATTTTTTTCTCCAAAATCTCATAACATTTCAAACTCTAAACATTCTACTTATTTCTTCTTCATTGCTCGTCAGGGTGACGTAAATATTTGAAGCTATATTTGCATCTTTTGGCCAACACATCTTTTTTTTTTTTTTTTTTTTTTTTTATCGATCACCGGCTGTGAATTCCAGTGGAAGGTCCCGGTTAATCGTCCGCTTGGACTTTTGGCTTTCACCTGGACCTTATTTTTGCGTGTACAACCGTTTTTCATTTCCCTGCCTCATGAGCAGCTGTACTCTGACTTCGAAGGAGGCCAACACATCTATTTCATCAGGAATTTAATCTTTCTCTTCTTCTTCATGTTAACCAGCTGTAAACTATGGCGGAAAGTTCTGGTTGTTCGTCCACTTCTGAACTGCAGTCCTGTTCCAGAACCTGAGTGTTGTGTGTGCATCCATTTTACAGATCTGACTCATTTGTATGCAGACTGTTGCTTCCTTGCTTCTCAGACAGAGGCACACCGACTTCGAAGGAAGCTCCTAATTAGTCGACTCTTACGACATGCTTTTGGGTAGGCAGTGGGTCTATTCTTGTTTTCCCTATAATGGGGCCCCAGAACCCACACAGGGAAGTATTCAATATCATAGTTGGCCTCCTTGGTTGCAACCATGAAACATTTGTAGCCTCATGCAAGGTGATTTCATCATCCCCCGGATATTTAACATTTCATTAAACTGAACAGTTTTTATATAGAAATATTCTGTGGTTGTAACCATCTGGTATACATCAGCAGTTTATCTAGGCTCTTTGAAACACTGCCACATACAGTGTCCAGCAACTATCACGATTAAATTCAATTAAAGTCGAGAGGATCAACTTCACTGCACTAGGTTTTATCCCATATGAATCGGTCTCTTTCCACAGAACAGCTAGACGCCTGCCGAGAGCGTCACACAGAGCACAAACTCTGTAGCTCGGGTGATGATCAGCAGGGATCTCTGTAAAAACTGCACTCGTGAACTGAGCGGCACCGCTGTGAAACAAACCAACAATCTTCAGAGCGTCAGGCAAGCGGCTTGACCACGGTCTATCATGAGCCGGCGCCAGCCAGGACAACACAGTACACTCTCCTTACTTTGACAAGCGACAGGTCAGCGGTAGGTCTCGACTATATTTGATTGGTCCATCTTGTTGCTCCTGAACTCCAGATATGACTCCATGCTCTTTTTTAGCAGTAATCAAGTGCCTGTCAATAAAAGAGGCCCATTTGGGTGTGTGTTTTTTTAAACTAACGAAGGCAGGTATTCACTAAAAGGTCTATTTCACACTGATGATTCACCAGTTATATGGTGCTAGAACTATATTTGTATCAACTAACTGACACTTCGTGGGTGATGTGGTCAACATGAAGCCAGCCATCGTTACTTCTCAGGTCATTCCCTGCTACCCATTTCAGGCAGAATCATTCTGGAAACAAAGATCACTTTGAAAAACAATCTGCCTCAATATAGATTTGAACCCTAGACCTTTATGTTCAATATTTTACCATTGTTTCTGAATGGCACAGTGCTCATAGGATTGTCAATGTCCAGGCAAAGCAGTCTGTTATCAAACCTCCAGAATTTTGAAACTGTTCTCAACCCTTAGCTACAGATATCAACTTAGTTCTTAAAGGACAAATACTGCAAAGCTGTTAACTGGACCCTGGGTTCACAGATAATTGATGAAAGGTTTATGTACCAATGGTTAATCAGTTAATGTTTAATAGATCAATGGTTAATGATTTGATGGTTAAAGGCTTCATGCAAAATCAACAGAATAGCCCTAGGAGGAAACTTACAGATAACTTCAACTCCCTCAGTAAACACTGCTAGGTACCAATACTGATTGTCTCCAGTAACTTGCAGGTCACAAGTATAACAGACCAGACCTCTGATAGATCCAGGCTTGTTGGAACCACAAAGCAGCCTTTCTTATGCTGTTTTATCTGTTACAGTTGCCTTTATCTGTTTTATCTGCTTTACACATTTCAGATGCCTTTGTCTGTTTTATCTGTTACAGTTGCCTTTATCTGTTTTATCTGCTTTACACATTTTAGATGCTTTTATCTGTTACAGTTGCCTATATCTGTTTTAGCAGCTTTATCTGTTACAGTTGCCTTTAACTGACAGTCATTTTTCCTCTCTAATTATTCTTCTTCAACAAGCACCCTTAAAATGATGGTTGGAATGTTGTGTTGAGGCTTACAGATAAGCTGTGATATCTGCATCTATCGGCCCAACACATCCTTTTTGAGCTAATCTCTAATCAGCCATCTTCTACAACCTGTTTATTAGTTGGAAATTGAAAAAGAATAGCCAAACAACATTTGAAGTTAAAAATCTACCCAAAGTATTTACAGATCCTAGCCCCTGCAAAGGAGCTTGTGCACTGCGCTGGGATTCTTCAGACTCAGGCTTGAGTTAGAAGTAGAAGGGAGCACTTATAGGTTACACCTGTGTGCCATGATGTTGATCCGTTTAATAAACATAAACATAGAAAATCAGCAGACTGGCAGCAAGAGAGATTGCTGATCAATGCCTCGTGTGTCAACAGTCACAGGAAGAGGATGTACGAGTAGACACTGAACACAGCACTGCTACTCACATAGTCTCCTTGTTTTTCCGTCCCCCGTAAGGTCTGAATGGAAGGTTGCCAGTGGCAGCATGATAGAAAGTCACACCAAGGCTCCACAGATCCACGTAGACACCAAACTGCTGGCCCCTGGGCCTCCGCAGCACAGCTCTCTCATACATGTCTGGATGCTTTTCCAATAAAACAACATACACATTACTACAAGAAGTACTACACACACCTTCTTCTCCAATTATGAACTATGCGACTTACGACAATCCAGTCATACGACCACACACACCGCATGCTTGCACACATACAAAACAGTAAACAAAGAATGATAATGACATAGGCAGGATCACAAAGTTCCCACAACTGATACTTGAGCACAGCAGGGCCTATTCAGCGGTGTTTGATCCTAGCACTTACTGCAGACTGTCTTCAACCGCAGAATGGATGACTTCGGAAATTTTCAAAGACTGGTTCTTTAACTGTTTCAAACATCCAGCTCATGAATATTGTAGAGAGAGGTATCCCTTTCAGGATTTTATCCATTATGGACAATGACCCCCGACCCTAATCCCCCCCCCCCCCTCCCACCCTCCATGACCTTCACTATGATGTTACAGTGGTTTTGATGCCAACTAAAACAACCGCTATTATCCAACCCATGGATCATGGGTGCTATTTCAGCATTTATTCTTCTTCTTCATGTTAACTGGCTGTAAACTCCAGCACAAAGATCTGGTTTGTTGTTCATCCACTTCTGGACTCTAGCCCTGTTTCAGATTTGTGTGCATATCCATTTCCCACATCTAACTTATCTGTATGCAGACTGTTGGTTCTTTGCTTCTTAGATAAATGCACACCAACTTTGAAGGACGCCCCCAAATAGTTAGCTCTTACAACATGCTTGTTGTGTAGGAAGTGAGTCTATTCTTGTTTTCCCTCACAACCTCACCCAAAACCCGTGTATGAGTGTATTAGCTGCATGGGGATGAGTACCTAAGAAGTGCATATCAGAAACTTAGAAAAAAGTGTCTCAAATATTTTAACAAGAATAGGAGCTTGAAGTGATCTCAGAAGACATATTTAAACCTTCAAACAATCTAGAATCAGACACTGAAGTTGAAGATATAGAGAAGATGTTTAATTGTGAGACAAATGAGCTTTGAGATCAGGAGCCGACTGAACTGGAAGCACAGGGAGTGGCAGAATAAAAAGCGGGAGAAGATGAAAAAGAAGATGAGCCAGGAAAGAATTTTATGGCAAAAGGTTTATCTGATACATTTTTGCAATGAAACAAAGCTCTAGCCAATGTATGTCATCAACCTGTCCGCCACAGAGCTGCACAGACAAACCACTCACCAAATATTCATCCATGCCGTACAATTTATTTCATCAACCTGACAAAGTAAATGCAAGGATTTCTAAGGCTAGCGTTGCCTTTGGCAGATTTTACAAAAATGTTTGAAACAGAAGTGGCATAACCCTGCAGACAAAGCTTAAAGTATACAGAGCAGTTGTATTAACTACACTGTTGAAAGCATGTGAAACATGGACAGTATACCAGCGCCAGGCCAGAAAGTTAAATCACTTTCACACAGTCTGCCTTAGAAAACTAATGCAGATCAGATGGCAAGACAAAGTACCTGATATGATAAGTCCTTGAGAAGCAGCCATGCCCAGCATCCACACTCTACTGATGCAGTATCAAATTAGTTAGGCTGGTCATGTGGCACGCATGCCAGATCACAGGCTCCAAAAAAAACTCTTCTATGGTGAGCTGCAAAATGGGAAACATTCCCAAGGCGGGCAAAAGAAACTCTTTAAGGGCACCATGAAGTCTTCACTCAAAGCATTTGGGATTAATGACACCAATTGGAAGGCTGCCTCTCAAGAATGAAATGCATGGCGTGCAACTCTACACAATGGCGTGACTACATGTGAAGCAAACAGAACAGCAAGACTGATTAAGAAAAGGATGGACAGAAAGGCGACCGCAGAAGATTCCCTGACTGGCACAACACTCATTCCCTGTCCTCACTGTCCAAGAACTTTTCGGGCCCGCATCGGCCTCATCAGTCATCTTCGTACTTGATGAAAGAGAGTGGTCATCATCACCTTCATGGACAAAACACATTTCATCAACCTGTACCCCACGGAGCTGTACAGACAAACCACTCACCAAATATTCATCCACACCATACAATGCATTTCATCAACCCATATGCCACAGAGCTGTACAGACAAACCACTCACCAAATATTCATCCGTGCCGTACAGTGAGAAAAACTCCTCATCCTGTTGAAGCTCTCTGGCAGCTCCGAAGTCTGTCAGTTTATACACAGACCTGCAGACAGAAAATATCATATATTTCTCATCTTTTACTCAATAAGAAAATGGGATCTTATTCACTTTTTATCTTTAATTCAACAAGAACATGGAATCTTATAAACTTCTCATCTTTCAATTCAACAAGAAAATGAGCCCTTACTACAACTTGTCAGCAAAAAATCATAACAACAGAGATAGGATGTCTAAGAAAAGCCCAGAGTAATAAGAAGGGATATTTAAAATGAAGAAATCAGGAGAAGACCAGAACTGACATAATGATCTCATTGCCTTCTGTCCAGGCAGGTTTTATATTAACCCTTTGAATTCAACTTATTAGATTAACCATTTCTGTCCTACAGTGTCTCTTTGTTCAACACCTTTATATCAAAGTATTTATTATTTTTAAGTACAACTGTACATGATAAAAGAAATTAATTTAATAACTACTTGGGATTAAAAGAATTAATGCATTTGTATGTCCCATCCTGCTGTCAATGCATACGTAATGTGTGTTGGCATTTCTGTGTGTTAATTTATGCATACACACATGTATGCATGTGTACGAGCACCCACACGCACACACACCAGAAAACACAGCAACCGGTGAAAATAAAGACCAACAGGTCTCAACAAACACAGCTGGGAAGTGCTCACGGACCTGCCATCCTGTGCCACTGATCGGAGGATGTTGCCAGGTTTGATGTCCCTGTGGATGATGTCGTTATCCCGCAAGTGCTTCACTCCTGCAGCTGTTCACAAGACAAAATGGCAAACAATTACGACAGTGTTTTTTGCTTCTAATAAAATACATTAAACAGTACCACTGACAAATAACACTGTCCTAGCTTTAATTCCCATCTTTCTGTCTAAAAATTTCCTTAACCAGAAATCACATCTTTCTATCCCAGACTTTCACAAACATAAACATGTCTTTCTATTCTTTTAGTGATCTTTCCCTCTCTCCTCCTCCTCCTCTTCTTTATCTCTCTCAGTTGGTTTTTTTTTTTTCAATGTGTACATGTACCTCTCTTTCCCTCTCTACTTTGATGTGTGAGTGCTTGCGAACTGTTAATTATTATTAATTGTTGTCACAATTATTACTAGTATGTTTAAGTGTATGTATGCATAAATGCATGACAATAGTATTTTATTTATAAATGTATGCTGGAATATAAGGCTAATGGTATATGAGAGAAACATGATAACTTTTGTACACCATTAACACATGCGTGTGAGCATGTAGAGAGTCGGTAGTCCAGAACCCAAGTTTATGGTGTCTCCTTCGTGCCAAAGAACTGTATGGTTGTGGGGTGCACAATCGTTAAAGAAGGCAGTCTGGTTGTACAGGGGCGACACCTTGCTGATGGGCGTTACACCCTGGCCCCTTCCCCAGCATTAGGGCACCACTTGGGTGACCGTTAATAAATCCTCACTACTTCCGGTCAAAATGGACGCTAGGTACAATTACTGTTGTGAGCCTTAGCAAAATGTTTTGCTTCGGCCAGACGGTGGCCGGTGCATTTTTGCTCCATTTATAGACTAAAAAGTTATAGTTTCGACATCACCTCTGAATTGAGTGCATGGCGTGACACTGTGAGCTGCTGATTTCATTTGGAATGCTTTTCTACTGTGACCAACGTGGTGGTATGAATTATAGATTCAGAAAATGGCGCGATGCCTGTTGTTGCAATATTGATGGTGCCATTATGTGATTAAAATTGATCGCGTGTGCAACCGCTGATCTGTTGGTGACTTCTGCTACCATCCATGATGAGCTGTATTTCTAATGTCGGACTGTTTGTGTTAGCACTTCTGATGGCTACCGTATGCTTTTAATGCGTGTGTATGCTAGTGAATATGCTGAGACAGCAGTCTGTCAATCTTTCCACAAGGGACTGTGATAAACATTCTGTGTTTTTAGTTGGCACAGGAGTTGAGCGACTATGGGGCGACCCGTTTGCTATGAAGCTGAAATTAAGATTACCAGATTTCAATTCTATACTTTCACATACAAAAACATATCTTTCTATTCTATACTTTCACACCAACAAATCATCTCTTTCTATCCCAGACTTTTTCAACAAATCATACCTTTCTATTACAGACTTTCACAACAAATTACATCTTTCTATCCCTGACTTTCCCAACAACAAATCACACATTTCTTTTTTTCAGACTTTCATTAAAACAAATCACATCTTACTATCATTGAATTTCACAATAACAAATCACCACATCTTTCTATCTCAAACTATCACAATTACTATACAATATGTTATGTCCAAGAATATCCAAGAAATAATGCTCATCTTCTAACTTAACCCTGTTGCCCAAAGAAAGCCAGTTTTCTGGCTTTTAAGGGTTTTTGGTGCTATGATGTCTTCAGGCAGTGGCGAGGTACACCTTAAAAAACAGCTATGGTACTTGCTGAAACAGTATAGTGTGTAGACATGGTGCATATGATAATACTGACAAATAAAATGTCTTCTGCTTTTTCTTCTCCTCCTCTAGCTGCTTAGGGCACAGTTTTAGAGAACTATAACTATGCTTTTCTTTTTAACAAAAGAACATTTTGTCACATATTCACAGGGCAACAGAGTAAAGATTTTCTCATCAACGTAAGAAATTATTTCAAAGAACTTCCTACTTCTACTACATCAATGCATTGTGGTTTGGTTTACATCCTGGCCATGACAACTGCCTGTGGGGTCAACATGTCAGCAAAACCCTTATTAATCACTTTTTTACAACAAGCTTTTCAAGGGGCAGTGGATTTTTCATTGTACCCCTAAATGCAGCCCTCGAACCCACTTGGATAATTTAATCAATAAATATTTCCATTCCAAAAAACCTCTAGCTAAAGATTCTCTATCAGAGAATCAATCTTTTTATCCAAGAATCTACCCCCACCTAAAGAATCTCCCTCTATCAAAGACTACTTTGTTATGCAAGGCCACTGACTGAACTAAACCACCATTACTGTCTGCTAGCAAGCTATCTACTACACAACCACATTTCCTAAGGTAAGTCAGCATGTTCTCATAGGTGTGAGTGGGTGTGTGTGTGTGTACTCACTGACTTGGCTCAACACCAACAGAAATTCTTCCTCAGACAACCCAAAGGCATTCTCAGGCTGATCCAGCAGGTTATACAGGGTGCCGTGGGTGCAGTACTCCATCACTATCACTTTTGTCCTACTGGTCATCTACAATATTCCAGACACAGAGGTACATGTTGCATGTTTGCAATCTACCAATATTCTAAACATAATGTTACAGGTAGAACCTATCAATATATCAGACATAATGTTACAGGTAGAACCTATCAATATATCAGACATAATGTTACAGGTAGAACCTATCAATATATCAGACATAATGTTACAGGTAGAACCTATCAATATATCAGACATAATGTTACAGGTAGAACCTATCAATATATCAGACATAATGTTACAGGTAGAACCTATCAATATATCAGACATAATGTTACAGGTAGAACCTATCAATATATCAGACATAATGTTACAGGTAGAACCTATCAATATATCAGACATAATGTTACAGGTAGAACCTATCAATATATCAGACATAATGTTACAGGTAGAACCTATCAATATATCAGACATAATGTTACAGGTAGAACCTATCAATATATCAGACATAATGTTACAGGTAGAGCCTATCAATATATCAGACATAATGTTACAGGTAGAGCCTATCAATATATCAGACATAATGTTACAGGTAGAGCCTATCAATATATCAGACATAATGTTACAGGTAGAACCTATCAATATATCAGACATAATGTTACAGGTAGAACCTATCAATATATCAGACATAATGTTACAGGTAGAACCTATCAATATATCAGACATAATGTTACAGGTAGAACCTATCAATATATCAGACATAATGTTACAGGTAGAACCTATCAATATATCAGACATAATGTTACAGGTAGAGCCTATCAATATATCAGACATAATGTTACAGGTAGACCCTATCAATATATCAGACATAATGTTACAGGTAGAACCTATCAATATATCAGACATAATGTTACAGGTAGAACCTATCAATATATCAGACATAATGTTACAGGTAGAACCTACCAATATATCAGACATAATGTTACAGGTAGACCCTATCAATACATCAGACATAATGTTACAGAAAAAGAGACTGATCAAGAAAGAGATGTGTGGAGGAATTAAAAGAGACACTCTAGAAATGCAATATAACATTACCACAAGTAATGCAACTAGCTAAAGATAAGACACTATAACTAACTCCTCTCCCCAACACTGTATGGCATATTCAGTAGAACAGAAGATGAGGCTGTTACAGAAATAACTTCAAGACAAATTAGAACTGACATATATCCGAACGTATAGTCTCTAAACTACTGGAGTCACTGTAAGTGGAATCTGGTGTCAATGTAGTAACCATTCTAATGACATATGGTACATTAAGAGTTAACATGGCTGAAATGTGGATTTTTTTTAAAGGTTGGGGGGGGGGGGGGGGGGGGGTGGGGGGGGGGGGGGGGGGGTGGGGGGGGGGGGGGGGGGGGGGGGGGGGGGGATCTTGTAAAGACAACAAGAGAGTCTTCATTAAACTAGGAATTGAAACAGAATTACTAAACATCATTAACTCCTTCAGTATCAAAGATCTCACTATATGATGTTTCTTGGTAATTCTAGAAAAAATAAAATACTTTTGCTGGCTTCTGTCACTGACAAGGTGTTAGATTAACCCTTTGTATCAGGATTTGTACTTTACCTACTTTTGTTCCATAGTGTACTAAAGTAACTTAAGTATTTATTGCTTTTTAATGCCACTCTTTGAGACAGATATAAGATATGAAGTAATAATTCCTTGAGACAGAAGGAAGTCAGGTTTGACAAATAAAAGTATCGGACACAAATGCAGAAACTGATCAATGTATGGAAAGTCAGTTGATACTTAGTAATTTAAATGGGATTTGCTTGACGTAGCTTGATACAGCTAAAATTCTATACATAGATTCTCAGAATACTAAGGACAAAGAAGAAAAAAAATACTGACATCCTAAAAGATCTGAACATCAAGGAAGATTGGCTAGTAAACAGCATCTTGTCTCAGGAACTGAAATATTTTAGCCATATCAAGCAACATGGCTGACTGAAAAGAACAGCAGCAGAAGCATGGTACCAGGGAAAAGGGGCAGGGACCAATCAGCACGAAGAAGGGCACAGAATTCAACAGACACTTTGGGTCGGAAAGTGCAAAAGGTGGGAGAGCTTGGCAAGAGACATGTTAGGCAATGATGAGAGTGGTGTTCTTCAAAGAATCAGCTACATGATGATGATGATGAGCTGGATACAGGGTAAAAGTTAACTGGGAAATGCAACAACACAAACAAGAACTGTAACCTCTTCTTCAATGGCCAGCAGTTTGACAATGTTATCATGCTTGAGTTTTGTCATGACATCAAACTCTCGGTTTTGGACAACAAACGGACGGTGGAAACTTTGGGAGTTGAACACCTTGACAGCAACTTCATCTCCGGTTCTCTAGAAAATATCACAAGTTAGTCAGTGACTTTTCTTTGGTGAACACAGTTAAATACGCTTCACTACAATGCCAACATCAAGTATAAAGGTCCAAGCTCAACTTTTAAGCAAACGTCATTTTATGGAGCCTGAGGTCTGTATCATTAGCTGGTATTTACTTCATGGAGCCTGAGATCTGTATCATTAGCTGGTATTTACTTCATCAAACCTGTGGTCTGTATCATTAGCTGGTATTTACTTCATGGAGCCTGAGGTGTGTATCATTAGCTGGTATTTAATTCATGGAGCCTGAGGTCTGTATCATTAGCTGGTATTTACTTCATGGAGCCTGAGGTCTGTATCATTAGCTGGTATTTACTTCATGGAGCCTGAGGTCTGTATCATTAGCTGGTATTTACTTCATGGAGCCTGAGGTCTGTATCATTAGCTGGTATTTACTTCATGGAGCCTGAGGTCTGTATCATTAGCTGGTATTTACTTCATGGAGCCTGAGGTCTGTATCATTAGCTGGTATTTACTTCATGGAGCCTGAGGTCTGTATCATTAGCTGGTATTTACTTCATGGAGCCTGAGGTCTGTTTCATTAGCTGGTATTTACTTCATGGAGCCTAAGGTCTGTTTCATTAGCTGGTATTTACTTCATGGAGCCTGAGGTCTGTATCATTAGCTGGTATTTACTTCATGGTCCATCCATCGTCCACAGAAAATGCTTCTAAACATTCACCAATATGTATATTACTCTTACTGAATTACTATGCTTATGGTATAACCAGTTTGTTTTTACTTCATGGAGCCTGAGGTCTGAATCATTAGCTGATATTTCAAATGTTTCTGTTGAATATTTGTAAAAGCTGGACCAACAATGAAGCCAAGTGGCCAGATAAAATCATGTCCTTTGTTAAATCTGGGTATTTATTACTCAGAACTAACATTTCTGCACTTTAAAAACTCATAGACGCTAAGTCCTTTTTGTTGGGTTTTTTCGTCTTTTTCTCTTCTGATATATTTTTCTTTTGTTTTTTAGTGTTTTCCTGTTTTTTTTTTTTTAATATAAACTCTTGATTTTATTTATTTCTGAACTGATCTTATTCATGTCCCTTTATTTTTTCCCCAAATTGGCCTGACTGTGTACTCACATACAGTTGCACATAGATATCTACATCAGTGCTCCTTCGTATTATCAGCCAATTAGAATTGTAACACAGAGCATAAACTCCATGGGAGCCGATGTGGTGTAGTGGCTAGACACTCACTTGGAGATCTGAACGTCATGGGTTATGGTCTTAGCGAAGCCAATTTTTTTTTTTTTTTTTTCAAAAATTGCCCTTGGTTCCCAGATTGACCCAGCCTCAAACAGGTACATGGTAAAGTCCGAGGAGTAAAGGCAGCCAGCACAATGCTAACCACATCACCGACGGAGGGTGTCGGAAAGGGTCCCTTACTTTATAACTCCATAACATTAATAAAAGAAATATGTAGATGAGAATAGAGTTCTTCCGATTTCATAAATTTGGCCCTGGTTGCTATCTACCTTGTGTAATTCTTCAAGACAAGAGCAGACAACTGTAATTAACAAAATTCAACAACAAACAATAAAGGGCTATCCTCCGAATAACGAACACAAAAGATGGCGGCGGCAAAAACACCCTAACAGAGCCTCAGTCACGTGTCAATTGCGCACTTCCGGCGACTTAATTTGCGGCGTGGATTGGGGCTAAAATAGATAGCTGGGACTCACGAGCAGCAGCTTCCGCATCTCCTGCAGCTTTGCTCGTTAGTCATCTAGTTTAGCCCCAATCCATGCGGAGTGAGCAGTGTGGGGAATACTCTCGGCGGTGCCAGTAGTCGCCGGAAAACCGCAAATTAGGTCGCCGGAATGCGCAATTGACACGTGACTGAGGTCCTTTTTTTGGCCGCCAGCGGCCGCCATCTTTTGTGCCCGTTATTGGAAGGATAGCCCAATAAAGTATTAATGGATAATTATTGATTGTACATATACAGTCGCTGACCTTGTTTCTGCCCATATAGACGGCACTGGTAGCTCCCTGTCCCAACAGTCTGGTTGTGTCCCATACGTAAGTATTTGAGCCCCTAATGGTTGCCATGACTGGCTGCTGGCTCTCAAATACTTGTACTTAATGAATGTTGCAGTGCTCTTCTATCTGCCCCAGTCACAGTTAACAATCGTGGCATCCAGTCAGCACATTCTGTGAGTGCTGGCAGTGGAAGGTGCACAAATTACTACTGAAAACAAAAACAAGATGGTCATAACAAAGCTGCAGAAATAATATCCACATCAAAAAAAAAGTATGGCAGGTATTGCTGATGCCTGTATCTTTCCATGGCACATAAGTCAAGCGAAGGATGGTAAAATCGTTACCTTATCTCCGTGTGAGTTCTAGGGCCCCAGCTTGGCAGTAACAAAAGGAATAGACTCCCTGCTCCCCCAAACAAGCATATTGTAATAAGCGACTAATCTTCTTCTTCTTCTTCGCGCTCATCGGCTGTAAACTCCAGAGGAAAGTTCTGGTTTTTCGTCCACTTCTGACTTGAGTCTTGTTACACAACTTGAGTTTTGCATGCACATCCATGTTACAGATCTGGCTTATTTATGCAGACTGTTGGTTCCTTGCCTCTCAGGATTAGGGGTTTGCTGAGCAGATGTTTTAGGTGAAAGGTGCAGATATTGTTGCCTAGCTGTAAAAGTGCAACAATTCTTTTCATCATCAACGAGAAGTGGCAGTCACAACAAATCAACATTTGCACACTGAAATAATTGCATACAAAATTGACAGCAGTGATTCAAACCCACGCCTCCGAAGAGACTTGTGCTGTAGACCAGTCGACTACAATACATATGAGCTGTCGGCTATCTTCCGAATAACGGTCCCAAATTACCAAGGCAGAAAAATACCCTAACAGGACCTCAGTCACGTGTCAATTGCGCACATCCGGCGACTTAAATTGCGCACTTCGGCCACCACAGAGAGTATCCCTCACTCACGCGGCGTGGATTGGAGCTAAACTAGATGGCTGGGACTCACGAGCAGCAGCTACCGCATTTCCTGCAGCTGCCTTGATTTTATTTACTCGTGTGTCCCAGCAATCTAGTTTAGCCCCAATCCACGCCGCTTATGCGGCGTGGGGAATACTCTCGGCGGTGGCGGTATAGTCGCCGGAAGTTCGCAATTCGGCAGTGGCGGTTTAGTCCCCGGAAGTGCGCACTTGACATGTGACTGAGGCCCTGTTAGAGTATATTTTCTGCCTCGATAATTTGGGACCGTTATTTGGAAGATAGCCGAGCTGTCAAATTTATTCTTTCTGATGTTCCCCAGCTATTCTTCCCTTCTCACTTTACTGTTGTCACAACACACTCCAGGTATTTCCCTTTTAGTATGTGGTAATGAAAAGCTTGGAGATAGAAAACATATTCCAGCACTTCTTTAAACGGCGACCCTATGGAGATGCAATCTACTGCAGCTTGACATTACCTTCAACTACTAACCCTAGGGGATGTAATCCATTTTTTGTTTAAGTTCCCACAGTAATAACATTCTTTCATATTTAACTCTTTGAGTCCCAAGGAACGCACCATACGTTCATAGGTTCCTACCTAGAGGCCCAATAAATGCAAGATGCGCCGATTTTAGGTCTCTGTTGACTAAACCCCCTGGGTCTAAATGAGTTAAAACTATTTGAGATTAGGGTTTGGGTTACGGTTAGAGTTAGGGCTAACGCGGTTAGCCCTAACTCTAACCGTAACCTGAATAAAAAACAGTTCACCAGAACTCCCGAAAAAAGGAGGGGGGGGAGCAGGCATATTAGTTAAGTTACAGTACAGATATAAAGAATTGGGGTGGGGGTGGCTTTTAATACACACACAACAGCCTTTAGTTTAAGAATACTGGAAACAGGCATGAATAATAAATATGGTCAGACCTGGGAAAGAAGGCGAAAGAAAGGACAGCGTGCGCTTAGTACTAGGGGTCTATGTTTTGCCCGGGGGATACAATATTTAAGTAGAGAATGAGTTATGAGTCAGAAGAATTTGTTCATCAACAACTCAAAAATAATCGCCTACTTTCGTTTACCGCATACTAACAGTCAGACGGCAACATAAAACACTGCAGTATCATCACCATAAAGAACAATATCATCATACTATCTTGATAAAACTGTATTCTTACAACAGTTTTTCCCGGTATACCTGAAGATCTGCCAACACATCACAACATAAACACAGACTTCTGTTTCACCATCTTTCCGTGTTTGCCTTCCGTCTGCAATGTCGTCCGCCTCAGAGTGCTTTCCCTTTGAAGTTTTATCCAGGTCTCTGCGGTCTATTATCGGGTCTCTGTGGCCGAGTGGTCAATCCGTTTGTTTTGTGCTCTGGAGGTAGTCGGTTCGATTCAAGGCTGCCCCGTGTACCATTTTTTTTAACAGAGGCCCTATTGGGATCCTTGTCAGAGCTACGGCGTTCATGGTTTGTGGAAGCGATCGTCATGTCGTTAGTTGCTCTGCAGAGAGAGACTGAGCATGTGGGATAAAACAAGATGCAATGAAGTCAATCCTTTCGAATGTAACCTTCAGCTTTTCCGGCAAGTTGCAACCAATATGTTGTTCGTCCATCACAAGTGATGAAGACCACTTTCACCCAAAGTAGTGACGAATCCATGATAATGATTCGATTCAAGGCTGCCCCGTGTACCATTTTTTTTTTAACAGAGGCCCTATTGGGATCCTTGTCAGAGCTACGGCGTTCATGGTTTGTGGAAGCGATCGTCATGTCGTTAGTTGCTCTGCAGAGAGAGACTGAGCATGTGGGATAAAACAAGATGCAATGAAGTCCATCCTTTCGAATTTAACCTTCAGCTTTTCCGGCAAGTTGCAACCAATATGTTGTTCGTCCATCACAAGTGATGAAGACCACTTTCACCCAAAGTAGTGACGAATCCATGATTATGAGTACGAAGACGGCTGATTATCCAATATGAGCCTGGAAAGCTTTTGAGCAGTGTGAACAACAGATGGAAAGGTGTGGGATTAGCAGTACGATTCTTTCTAGCCTGCCTCCGTTTCTCTGCCTGTGCAACCGCTGCTGTCTGACAGGCCGATGAACCACGTCTGAGGAGCGTACGCCATCCAGAACGGCCTTGTGCAGCAGCCGCCCGCGTCGCTGTGTTGATGCCAAAAGAATTGAGATCAGTCTTCAGAGTGTCCTTATAGCGCCTTTTCTGTCCTTCCTGGGACCTCTTCCTTTGCTGGAGCTCGCCATAAAATACTCTTTTAGGGAGGCGATACTCTTGCATGCGGGTTAGGTGACCAGTCCACCGCAGCTGATATTTTTTCAGTATCGTGTGGATGTTAGGCAGGTTTGCCTTATCAAGAACCACAGTATTTGGGATCTTATCATACCATTTGATTTTGAGCAGCTTTCTGAGACAGGTTATATGAAACTAATTCAAATTTTAGCATGACGCAGATACACAGTGCACGTTTCACAAGCGTAGAGCAGTACTGGAAGAATACAGCTCTGTAAACCTTTAGCTTGGTCAGCAGAAAGATACCACTTCTGTTCCAGACATTGGTATCAAGTCTGCTGAAACTGCTGCTGGCCTTTGAGATTTTAACATTGATCTCATCGTCGAAATTGACTCTCTGAGATGGAGTACTGCCAAGATAAGTTAATCTTATTACAATCACGTCGTGGTTCGCTAGTGTTGGTACATATGATAGTTGCTTTATGCATGTTTACTTAGCATGTGCGAGTTTCCAAATTTGGCTGCGACTGACAAGTTGTTGTTTCTTACTGGTTTTAAAAAGAACAGTAGAGGACAGGTGAGTGTGTGATTTCAGGTGGCTCGTGAGCCTGGTAGTTATGCAACGACTCATCTACAAAGAAGGTGGAACCTTGACCAGTTAACTTATTACAACTTTTAAAATATCTTCAAGGGTTTCCTCGTGGTTGTGAAATGTATTGCAGGCTAGCACATTGACGTGTAAGTGTACAGTATTATACCTGTGAAAGCTGTTTCGTTGGTGGTTCAGTGACATAAGGCAGGGTGTTATTGCAAAACATTCTCTTTTTTTTTTTTTTTTTTTCGTCTTCTCTTCTTCGTCTAAATTTTGCTTTCAGCATCAAAATAAGAATTGACATTAAAACGAATTTTCGTATGCGCATTTATAAAGCTCACTTTGATTACACACAATACCTTGAACACAGATAACCAACTATCACACACAAATGCATGCCGGAATAAGAGGCAATGAACGAGTCGACCCGCTGGTAAGTAATGCACCAATGTAAATAGAAGAAGCAGAAACAGAGCTGATATTGTCAAGGCAGCACGGACTAGGATGGTGGACAATGAAAAATCTCTCACACTAACACGATTGCATTAACCTCAGAGTTAAGCTTGATGAAGCACATATATGGCGTCTTCAAGGTAAACACCGGAGCCACTATAACCGACTTGTGATGGGAACAGTCAGCAGGGATACAATAGAGTCGCTGCTGCGTCGGAGGACTGGGCATGCATGGGAATGCCCAATGAGCAGCAGCATCAGTTGTGATAACATAACATACACATAAATGTGTTTCAGAAGTTAGTGAATACGCGTCTCAGTCCAATCCTCAACCTCTAGGGTTCGAAACACTACATTTGTCCCGTTGTTTTTAATCTAGCAATTAGCTTAAGAATACGACACTGGCTTATAGTTATATCTGGGGACATTATCAGAGTCCTCAATTTTAGATACTTTTAATTCCTTTTAAACATAACTGTTGAAACGCTGGGCTCTCAAACGGAAAACCCGGGTTCGAATCCTCCGTAAGGCTGGGGATTCTTTTTTTTTTTTTTTTTTGTCAAGAAGCAAAATAAAATCCTCACCTGCACAGTCGTGGCGACAGCACTAGCCACGAATGAGCAAGCTCAAAGATCACCCCCCCCCCCCCCACCCCACCGACTACACCGCAAAAGTGGTATAATAAAGGCAATAATCGGCAGTTTTTAATTCCTGAAAAATGTTGATGATAATTTTCTTTGCAGAATGTTTATTTCCCGATGCAGTTGAGTGGCATACTGTTTCGCTGATTTCTTGGCGA